AAACGCCTAATATCGAGAAGAATCTTAGACAAATCCAGAACATGCTTCGCGAAACCGGGTATCCTGGCAAGTTCCTTGCAAAGAACCTTGCCGAACGACCCGCAAAACCCACCACACTAACCGCCAAAATGAAAACTTTGTTCCTCAAAGTTCCTTCCCAAGGAGACGCTACGAGTGAACTCCTTAGAAGACACGTTGATCAAGCTGTCTCGATAACCATCACAGCAGCAAGGATTCGCATATCATTCTCTACTAACCCTATTTTACGCGGAGAAGGCAAGGAAAGGCTGCCACCTCAGACAGCCTCAGTCACTTGCTCCTGTGGAACAGGTTATATTGGTCGTATGAGTCGGCGCTTTCCAAAAGAACACGAGAGCTCCTTCCCGCATAGCCGGCAAAAAATGAAACTAGGAGAATAGACGGCGTCATGCTTTTGTTTGCAGTAGATTCAGAGCATCGTGTGGACCCAACTGAAGCATTTCGTATGATTTATAAGGTCCCAACGAGCTGCCCTAAGCTACTGGATCAGCGCCTGTTAGCAACAGCAGAAGCGGCCGCCATCAGCTTACGAAAGCCTACCCTATGCGCCCAGAAGAACCTCGTTCAGGCTCCGCGCTTATCGTCGTAAAAAGTTGACTAACCACGTACAACTTTCTGTGTCCTTCCGTTCTTGCCTAGCCTGTGTTTTTAAAACCAACTTTTATCGATCTTTCGAATCACTGTACCCCGTCCCTATACGACTGTACCGGCATGAAGAGAAGTTATCGAATGCAACGTTTTTTCTCGCCACTTTGTCTTCTGACTAAGGAAGCCTTGATCACTAGAATATCACTCGACCTTGTCGTACCCCAACCACGTGGATATCTCACTAAATGTGCTTAATCATCAGCTGAATGAACGAAACATTTGTTCTAAATGTAATGAGCCTTGCTTATTGATTTAACACCGAGAAACTATTGTTAAGGTGCACAGATTTCCTCACTATATTTTCTAATGGGTGTTTTAACTTTAAGCCAATGCGTTAGCACAGAGACAAAATACTATCAGTCAAATTCATATTTTGGATTACTAGCAAACGATTGACATGACACCTAGCTCCTTATTGCGTTTTGGACATACATTCAAACAATTCAGCAGCGCTGTTAAACATAGAAACTCATTTTGTGGCGACTCAAGACTGTTACTTCATAGATAGCAAACAGCACAACAATCGCTTGACTAACGGCCTTTCTGTGACGGACTAGTGGCATTTTGCGGATGACTATATAAACTGTGAATACAAGGCTACCGACCGCAGTGTCTCAACTATATAAACCAGATCGGACTGCGTTGCTGCGAGGGTAACGTCAATGTCTTTGGGCCTAAATGAACATATGGTTGTGCATATAATATGGACTGCAGAGGGTTTTAAAAGTGATTAAAAATAAAAAGATGGTTGCTGGTTGCAAAATAGCAAGGTATATTTTAAAATCCTCACTTCTAAAATTCTGATCATCAAAGGCCAAGAAGTGCAGGCTGTTAGATTTTGAGGATGAACTGTTACAAATTGCTTATAGTCTCATCTTAAAACGGGAGCCTTTGGAAAAAAGGAAATACGTGTTTGCTGTACGGCGAATTTCGCAATTCAGTTGGACCTTCCAGTCTATGCGGATTTAGCGGACGAGACCTCTGCAATTAGACCCAAATGTAGAGTTAAAATGTAAAAGCTAAAATCAAGTGCTCGTTTCAAAATGCGGTGCACACGTAAGCTACAAGCGGTACGCAAATCAAAATGTAAGTATTAAAGCTACAATGTGCACGGGTAAATTACCACGTAATTCTTATTAAAATGGAATGTTGAGCTACAAACCAAATGGATAAAGTGACATATTCTGCATATTGTCATTCAAACTAAAGTGTATCCGGACATTTTAGCGAACGACTGCGATCTTACCAATCGCACTATGTAGGAGCTATTTCATCAAAGTCATTTCGAGGAGCAAAAAATTTTGACGTTTCAGTTTTCTGGATCAACATTGGAACAGGTATCATGCGTGTATTGACCCTTGCAAGAATTTGTATGGTTTGTAAGCAGAAGAAGCGATTGCTGGAACAAGGCATCAAGCAATAAGCGGTCAACAGTTCTTTATTAGGTGGAGCGCGGTTAATTATTATAGGTATGGGGTAGCATGGCGACTGCATCCTATAAACGCTGCAACTTCCTGAGTCCGAGTCACCCGTTTCTGCCACTGTCTCTGATGATGGTCTCAGGCGTGAATCCGAAACGTCAGGCAAATAAAGCCCTCGCTCCAGCGACAGCTTCTTCTTCTTCCTTTCAACTTCTACGTGGAACTCGCGTTTTTGCTTGTATCAGCAGCATAGTTTCTGTATATCTATTGCTCGTCGGGAAACCAGTGTCCCGGCAACGCAAATTTCAAGGATCTTTACTCATTAAATGGAATTTCCAATGTAAAGTAACCTTATTCGTCCAGGTATTTTGTACACATCTTGTTTGTTATGTTAAAATATCCTCTCAAAAATGAGGCTTTACTGAAAATACCGTGACGTTTACTGCTTAAATCTTACGAATTACAGATTTTTATAAAAGATATACCGTTTAGATGAACAACAAACTATCCTGAACATCATTCATACCTCTGAAGACATGACAAATCGGGAAGCGAGATAGCTATAAATTGTTGATGATTTTACTTTGAAAACGAGACACTATATCCGTCCTCTTGAACAAAGATGACAAATACTTTGTGTACTGCAAATATTTTGTGCAATATCCGGAAAGAGAGACTTAGCCGTCTTTGTTATAATACAGCAGCTCCCCTAGACACAAATGCAAATGTCAGTTTGTACTCTGGTATTGCCAATCACAATTTATCACACGAAGTACTGATTTTACCGCATCCACAGTGATGGAGCATATTAAACTGCACGCATTCACTTTGGTAGTGTTTAAATCATATTTCAAAGGGAAGCTAGATCGCGTGTTGCGTAATCAGTTGAGTTTATCTCTATTTACCGTCCTGTTTGGTCATCAGTGGAAAAATGCCCAGTAGCCAATGCACCAATTAAACAACTCGATGGCTTGTTTGCTTGTTCTCCGCAATTCTTTGAAGTTTGACACTGTTAAAACACCCGTTTCCGTCATTTGTGGTAAGAATACTTAACACATGTCCTCTTTGTGTGGTATAAGGATAGAGGCTAAAAAATAACTGAAACCGCACCGGCTCACGTCCAGTCTGCATTGGGCTCCCAGAAGAGTCTATCAGAAAAAACTAAGTCTTGAGAACTCAAGAACGTCGGCAGATTCGTACCCCTCCAACTAAATTTTAATCTAGATCAGCGATTGATGCAAAGAGCTAAAAAATGCTCGAAAGACAGATAGACGGCAGATTTAGAAACCTCCAATAAAAAATGAATCTATCTCGTTGTTTGGCGAAAGGGAATAGAAAAGTTGCTCGATAGACAGCATCTGGGAAAAGCCCAGAAGGATCCATGGTCAGATCGCGTTTGGTAGCCAGGCACTGTACGTTGATACTGCCGACGTACTTGTTATCAGTGGGTGTGCTTACCTTGCCTAGGGAGCTGGTTATAAGTAGGTGTGCTTCTACCGCGTGAGGTAGATCGGCCGTTTCGGCCAGGCTACTGGGTTAAGCAAGTGTTACGGTTAGGCTTAGGTTACGTTTTATGACTAGGGTTTGCGTTTTAGGGTCCGGCTTCAGTGATAGGGTTAGGGTTTAGGTTTATGATTATGGTTTGGCTTTAGGGTTGGGGTACGGCTTCAGGGTTAGGGCTGCCGGTTAAGGATTAATAGTTAAAAATTAAGGTTAGGGTTATCCTATCGCTATTTACCTCTTTCATTTTGCGCAGGTTGTGCTGTTTTTCAAGGGATTTTTTTACTTTCCGCCATTCCTCTGCCTTACTAAAGCTTACCAACAATTTTTTCGTTCAATTTATTTTTCCCTGAAACTCCAGCATTCGTCCAGCAGCACTTCCACTTACCCCACCCATATAACCCCGTTTCCCGCCATTGCCGTAAGACAGGGACCCCGCCGTCTGCCTCCCCATTCCTGGCTACCAACTGCGATCTAACCGGGTCCATCACCTGTTTCGTGAAAACTGGTATGCTGCCAGTTTTATTAGAAAGAATGTTATCAAACGACCGGTAAAACCTACCACACAGACTGCTGGAAAGAAAACTTGGTTACTTTAAGTTCCCATTGAAGGATATGCCGCGAGTGAACTGAAAAGATGCCTTGATCAAACTGCTTTACGGACCTTCCCAGGAAAAAAGAGTTCGAATATTATTTTATGCTTACGCAAATAAGGTAAAAATAGGCTGCCAACTCCGGCCAACCAAGCGTTAATCCATCGCTTCACTTGTTCCTGTGGAGCAGGTTATATTGGTCATACGAGTTGGCATCTATGTAACGGTATGTGGGCCTTCGATTATCAACAACAGTTGAAGCGGCCGCGATCAGGTTTCGAAAGCCGGTCTTGTGAGCGCGAGTGAAGCTCATTCAGTCTCCGCACTTACCACGATGAAGGGTCGACTTAGTACATATTGTTGTCCGCGCATTTTGCGCTGTCATCCCACCTGCGCTTTCAAAAGCAACTTTAATCATATTTCTCATCATCGACAGGCGTTCCGTGTACAAGTTAACATTTCACTGTAGTCTACTGACACGACTTTGTCGGCCAGTCTTCTTAATTTTATTAAAGTTGGGGATTTTTAGCGGCCTTTTGTCCCGTAGAACGCCTGAAAATGCCTAATGATTTTGCCTGGTTGGATGAAAATTGTTGCATTCCCATAGAAAGATCAATTAAGTAGCCTCGAAGTATTTAAAAAATTAGACTGGTTGGAGAAAAATAATCGCAGTCTATGACTACAACCAACGAAATAGCCCAAGATTGTTTACGGAGTTACATTAGCCAGAAAATAATAATCGTATTTCATAATTAAAATCAAAAATATAGTCAAAATTAACCTGGTTTCGTATTTCCGACTACGCGTTCGTCTCTTCATTCGCACTGTCATCATCGTCATTTGCAGCAATTGCCGAGCAAATAACAACGGCGACAGCAATTGCACTCACAAAGACAATCAATGCGCCAGTGCCTAGGATGGCCAAAAAAAATTCCATCAAACTGCAAAAATGTAAAAAATAGTTAACAGATAGAAGTGCTTACCCCTCCACTTCGGACCCATTAATTATCAAGACGGCAACCCCAATGATGCCCACAATCATGCCGATATATGCGCAAGTCCACAGCAACACTCCGATGACCAGAGCAAAGCAAGAACTGTCACACGACATTGCCCTGAAACAAAGACGTGGTTGCTGCTGGTATCTCCGTAGAGACGATAATACATGGACAAAAAATTATGTCTCTGAGTAGCCTCTCGATATGAAGTGAGTCTAAAGCCTGTTTCGTTCGTAAGTCACATATTTTGGTTGTCTTGCAACAACATCGGTCAGCGTTTATGACAAAACATTCAATAAACGCTTGTTTTTTATATATCTGATACTTGTAAATGTTAGCGGTGATATGTGGAGGGCGATTTATATCTTACGCAGTAAAAGGCGGACAAATTGGTGTCTTCTTTAAATAAAGTAAACTTTAATAATACCCGCGGAATAGCCCAGACCTGTAAGAGATGCCATGTAATTTTAAAACCGAGCTCCATTATGCTGGTAGAATTATCAGAACGACCAAGGCACTGGAAACAGTGCAGTTTCACTTAATCATGCAATTGTATTTGCGTCACTGTTGGCGTGCACATGCGGTCTGACTTAATATGCGAGGCCAACATGCGCTTAAAACAATGAACAAATGGTTCATTAATTAAATAGACAAGTATACGTAGGCAAAACAAATAAACTATGTCAATTTTTCCGTGAACGAATTATTTGTTCTTATAAGTCACCGTCCGCCGTTGTCCGATGTGCACAGCCCCTTCTGTCCACCGTGAATGGAGGCCTATTGCTAAAAATATAGGAATGATAATTCTAACAGTAAGCCAACCTCCCTTTACGCATTTCCAAGAGGTGCTTTAACTGAATAAATCTAGGAATTTAAACTTTAGTGACAATTACCCCATGCATTTGGTATAATGTTTTGTGTTTATTGAATAAATGTGAGGACCAGAGAGCCACTTACTGAAGAACGATTCATTTTAACTCAGAGTTTGGCCTTCGCCAACACGGTACTAAACTTGTGTGACATATATTGTGTACCCGCTATGTACTCTCGCTTTTCTTTGTCAAGTCGTGCGATGAAAACAATTTCCCTCAGAACTCGAATAAGAAATTATAAGGAAAATGAGAGCGTTAGGGTTGTCCTCTTAGTTCCTTGACAAAAAAATAAGAAAGGTCACTCTGCGACAAATTTTTAATGATGTGTGAAATGAACTTCCCGGAAGAGCACAATGTGTCGACGGCAACCTTTAGGAACCGTTGACGGTTAGTGGTTAGAATGGTTGCTAAATTCGGAGAACAGCCAGTCTACCAGCTAATCACGGACACAATCATCAGCGAGGTGTTCGGTGAGAATAGCTCACCGTAATTTTATGCAACAATGCCCGTGTGTATCGCTCTAGAGGAGTGTGAATCTGATAATGCCTTTAACCGTAGTCTGATATTTGAGACAACAGCCAGCCTCTTTGAATATGGCTTCCATTCGATTTTATCCCTACCAATAGCTCGTACGTCAACCCCCTCTAAAATCTTTTTGCACATGTTATAGGACATTGACACTAGGCGAGGAAGAAATTTTTAACAAAGCAAAAGCTTGGTTTCGTGCTAGATGATCTCGCATAGATAATTTTCGATAGAAACTTGTCTGTCTGTATGTTTGACAGACTTTCAACTGTGTAAAATGCAAAAGAGCAATCCAAAAATTTCTGATATGTTGAACCTATTATTTGTCATTTCCTTTCGCCTTGCATGCTTCGAACCGTCCTGTGCACAATTGTGGTTAGTCAAATTGAAACGATTTGCATTATATTCATTTTACTAAATTCTTCTCCTATAGTGAAAGGTGATTTTTCAAGCGTCAGGAAATGTAAAATTGCGAATATGACAGTACCTTCTTATTAAACATGGTCGCTTCTAGAATACTTAAGGCAACGTCGCTCGGGTGGGTTTTTTGTTTTAGGGATTTTGTTTTGATTAATCAGGAAATTTTACGATTTGTTCACGCTAACGTTGGCGATATATGTTTAAGTCTGTTATACTTTAAAACGGCCTACGTACCACTTCCGGCGTCACTGGAGAAAGTTCACGCAATATTTGCAGTTTATTGTTTAACCACAAGTACCGGATGGCGAGCCCTGTGCTGAACATGATGAATGGCGTCCGTTTTCGAATAGCTCTTCTATGGAAAAGTCCATTAAATTCACAATAGGTGGGCCACCTCATGAATTGTCAACCGAAATTCCGAAATGCGTTTTTATTTCGAAAAGACTGCCTAAATAGGGTTGTAGAACTAGTCATTTTGCAAAATAATTCCATAATAATTCAGTTACCACAGGGTGTCGGCTTTTGAACCAACTTCTTTTCGGCTGCATGCGAAAACTACACTCTTTCAAAAGTGACAACTTGAGAAGCATGCATTTTTCTCATTTACTTTTGACGCCCTTACAAATGCAATCATAATTCATGAAGAACATGCATAAAAATATTTATTCTTATTCAAGTACGGTGAAGAAATTACGTCTTCTTGCAATCTTATACTCGAAAGATGGGTATATTCCGGTTTTCTAAAACGTTTTCAATTCTTGAATAATTTTGAACCCGACCCGCACTTATACTTACATTCAGCGATTAAAAGTACAAGCCGTATACTTTCAGCGTACGGCAATCTTCACATTTCTCTACGCTATTAGAGGCAGGGTTTTTGGCCATATTGTGGACTTTACAAGCAACATGTAAATGCAGAGACATGGCGTTTTATGAACGGCCAGTTAAAGGTGTTAAACAATCTCACAAGTAGAGACTTTTCTAAAACCGAATTATGTACTTCTTTCGAGTGTCAAGTTGGAAGAAGACGTACTTTTTCACCGAGTTAATAAAAGAATGAATACTTTTATGCATGCTTTACAGGTAATATAATTAAATATCTAAGGGCATCGAAAATCAAGTAGAAAAGGTCATGCTGCTTAAACATTCATGTTTACAAAGTAGATTTTTTGCATGCAAGAGCAAAGATAATCGTTCAAAAGTCGGAATCCTCAGGTAACTGGAGTATTATAGAATTTTGCTGGATGACGATCAGTTTCACAAACCTACTTAATTAATCATTTCGAAACGAAAGCGAATTTCGGAATTTCGGTTGACATTTCATGAGTTAGCTTACGTACTGTTACTCATAAATTTGTTTTTCAATTTCCTCCTCATTTATTTTCATTTTTAAAATCAGTTCTGTTGCACAATTTGAAGTATGGTTTAAAATTCCTTTGAAATAACTACCCTGTTTTGCATGTCTCCTTTGGTAAAGTGCAAACGCCGATTTTCATGATATAAAACCATTTTAGGTAGCCCAATACTTCGCATCCAGATGGTTCTTATCCCTCATTTAATTTTATCTCATAAGTATCGAATATACTAATGCCTTGTTCCACTGACCATAATCAAATAGGTGTTTATTATTTAGGTAGAAGTGTTAATAAAACTATATGTGATTTGCTTAACCAAAATAAGAGAGGATGCTTAGAAGATTAAACGCAGAATATCCTCTAATTGGTCTACGTCTAAATAAGTCTGTAAATATTATTCAGTAAAATCCCCTCATTGTATCCTTTGATCTAAAAATATTGCTTAATCTCAGATTACCCATATCAGAAAAAAAAATAAAATAATAAAAAAAATTGTACACTGTGTGCAAGTATATCCAAAAAAGAATTTAACAACCTACAGAATCGCCTCCCCAACACGCCTGCCTTATCGTCACACACTGCACAACAGACTCGATTCTTGTCAGACTGCAAGAGCAATCTGCTAATCGATTCAAAAAAAGTTGCGAATTCGATCCAATCAAGTTGGCGCAGAGTTCTGTTAGACGTTCTTTCCAGAAAAAGCCAACGCTTTTGCTTTCAGGCAGAACAGCGTGGTTTAAACAAAACAATATACCTCAACATTTTTACTGCGCTTTTAAGCAGAATAAATGTTTTCAACTGGGCTAAAAACGAAATAACTTATAAAAACTACTTTGTTGCTGCTAAGCACTTAAACAAGCATGTTAACTGCAATCTGTGTATCGCTGGACAGTAAACAACCGCAAATTTTAAACTAAGCAATAAAGCCCTTTATGATTTTAACAGATGGACCATCGTTTCCGGTGATATAAGCCATGTGTCATACAACACTCTTGCCCGCAGATGCAGCGAATTGCGTGTAAATTAAATTCGAATGCTCTGCCTCTGTCTTACGCTCTTCGTACTCATCAGTATGAACAGCGCGGAAAAACAGACTCAACAAGACAGGAAACCGTATTGTACAAAATGATAATCGAAACTTAACAGTCCGTCTGTCCACGCCTTATGCTAAACGGATCAGGACATCGTAAAAGGCTAAAGAGTTGACCCGGATCCCAGGTGTGTAAGTGCTACATCAGCTACTCTAAGAAGACAGCGTGGTTTCCCGTCCGGTATCTGCCATGGAAAACCTTGTTGCTCGCGATTCTTCGTGCTAAAGTGTATTGCCAAATCTCGTAGAATGGTGTAGACGCGCGTCGGGGTCTTGTGACACTTCTCTTGCAAAGATTATGTTTGTGGTTACGCGGTGACGTGGGTACCCACAGTGACTTTTCGGCAGAAGTCCCCGTTCAGGGTGGCCATTGAGACAGATTAGGCGCAGGGTTCATCCTCGCGATATTGAGCAGCGAGATTTCGCTGTGGTTATTTCGCAGTTGCCGGCACGCTTTCCGCAAATGGAGATGAACGTGCGTCTTCTATTCACCTTTGACAGTGCAGTCTTTCTTGAGGTCAGAAATCCTATTAGCTTTGGCACGGCGGGTGCTGTAGCGCAAGTTCTCATTGAGTACCCTGTCGCATTCCCCAAGAACTCAGGAATTTTTCCTCGTTGTTGCATCCCCTTAAATAACGTTTTGTGTTGATCCACAATCTGGGTACCACCGTTCTTGTAGAATTCGGACAATATCGCGTCGTCTCCCGATGCTTTCCCGCCAAAAAACCTGTGCACTACTCGGATGTTTTCGTCCATATAGAGACACAAAAATGGGAATGTCTTAATACCGAACCTAAGGTTGGGAGAAAGTGAATGCGGTAGATACTGCACAAGTATCCGTCGATGCGTCAACCCTACTTTGGGACACACGGTGAACTTAGCCGAACTCGACGGTCAAATTTCTACTGGTTCTTTGAGAACACGTGAAGCCCTTAAGTCGGCCGAAATTCCGTGATTTTTTAAGGGTATATTTGTCAAAATAACAGCCATCCTAACACTGGTATCTTATAGCTGGGGCGTTTTAGAACTATCTACACTACTTTAAGATCGCCCAGGGCACCAAATAAACAAAATGAGACTTGAAGAGTTAAAACCGTCTGTTTATTGACTGGGAAAATAAAGTGTTGTTGACAAAACTCTCTTCTCTTCCACTCCATCGTTCAAAGATAGAATAAAGTGATGTAATAAGAAGGATGTGGAAATGATTGGAGAATTAAACGCGACTGAAGGCTAGAGGTTGATATACTAACGTAGAGACGAATTCTTATTTGTTAGACGGCTGGGGATTATAAATTAAAGATACCCATAGAACAAAGGGCAGACGTTAATGCGTAACATGCTCAGTAGGTAGCGTGTCTGAAAAAATTTTAGCCGAGACCTTAGTATCCTTTCAATGAGGAAGGATCGCTTTGGGGCAATGCAGTATTTTTCATTATAGCTTATAATTGCAATGTATTTCAGTCGCACCGGGATACTGATTCTGAAAGGGCGTCCTCAATTTTGTCCGCATCAATGACAATATGAATTAACCGCTCACGTCGTAAGGATTTTCACAACAATTTTTTACTCTTTTTTGTATGCTCACGTATATTTCCTAGAAATGTATGACCAAAAATATGTTTAGATATATATATATATATATATATATCGCGTTCATCATCTCCCGAAGAAGACGAAGAAGTAGAGAGGGCGAATTCATGGACCATATTGTATTCGAACTGACGTTTCGGAAACTTCCTCGTTTCCATCATCAGAATAGCGTAATTGTTGCACTTGCCGGTCTTAAGTTGTTCAGTCTTGCCGCTTGCCTCGTATTATAGCCGTGCTGGACGCACGAACTTTGACCTGCCTGTTTGACGCTGACTGGCTTAGACCTCCCAGGGGCTGACCGCTGACAGGCCTGCGTGACCTTTGGGGTCGGCGTAATTGTGGTCAAATCAACGTGCCGCTTAGCCTCTCCCACGTCAGCCGGTGGACTGATCGGTCGTTGCTGTTCAGGTGAGCAGCATTCAACTTCGCGGGCGCATCGGTGAGACAGTGTTCAGCTTTGGTCACACGACCGCTGGCCCCCAATTCTGCTCTTTTCCGTGAGCGTTGACTCCTGGTCCCGCGTGCTCGCTTGCCTTACTGGTCTTGTCCGGACTGATCCGAGCCTTGTACGAAGCGCCTGGTAGGCGAGATGTAGATCTATAGCTCGGTTGAGTGTACCAGTCGAGGACCAACTTTCGAGCACCAGTCTGGCCAT